TTCTGCATTTATGTAGCATTGCATACCATTCTAAATCTGTTCAGAATAAGATGATCTATGCCAGCAGAATGTTTTTGTTTGCCGTTGAAAAGCACCTTGCCATTGACTAATACTCTGCCATTAAATAATACTCTGTCATCAATGCACCATTTCTGTATATGTGTTGCATTACAAAATGAGCTTGTTTTGATCCCTTTGACCTGCCTTTACATTTTCACCAAATATTTTTTAATCACCCTCAGGCCCGCGCCGACAATAGGCGCAAGGTCATACGATGCACGACGACGCCGAGTCAAAAAGGCGCTGGGCAATCATTAAAACAAGCAATTCGTCTCACTGCCTGTCTGAGCAGGAAAGTTCTTGTCTTATTTGAACGCCTCTCCGGGGATCGATTCGGGTAAAACCTGGAAGCTACTGATTATGATCTGTACCTAGGCAGTCTCGGCCATGGGTGTTTAAAATCAGTCTCCACAGGACTGGAGTCATCGCTGGCAATGGCTGTTTGAGGCTCGTCAGGGAATTTATATCACTTTGATTTTTATCAGTTTATGCTTTTGCAGTTTTTGACATATGTTGAGCTGATCTTGCAAATATATGTGAACGGAAATACGTGATGCCGATGCGTATGTAAGGGTACAGGCCGCCGGCGCAGATGCAATCAACAAATTGCTTAGTCCTTATTTTGTGTCTAATGTCACAATCGTGGGAATTTGTGCAACATTTATCATTTTTGTGAGTTATTTTGGTGATTGCTTGTTGTTATTGTTATTCTACATAAAAAAGGTAAGCGCAATTACATATTATGTTAAACTTAAGTTAGCTTTTTGATTCAGGAAAGCGAAGATTTGAGCATAATTACTCGAAAAATGCTTTTTTTTACATGAAGGATTTGTTCATTAAACTAAAAATTATTATCTTTAGAGAAGAAAGGATTGACATACTTATGAAGTACCACTGAATTTAAAATATACCTATTTGTGATTTGAAGACGTAAAAATGTACAAGGTATTCTGAAATCCAAGCTAGGCATTTTTCCGATTTTTAGCTATGTACAAAACCGAAGGAAAATGTTTTGTTAATTCATTACGTCTTAAATACATACTTTAAAATTGATTTAGTTACTTTAATAAACAAAAGAGTACTTCATTGCAGCCGGTTGAAAAAAAACAAAAAAAAAAAAAAAAAAAAAAAAAAAAAAAAAAAAAAAAAAAAAAAAAAAAAAAAAAAAAAAAAAAAAAAAAAAAAAAAAAAAAAAAAAAAAAAAAAAAAAAAAACAAAAAAAAAACAGAAGAAATACTAGTGAAATCTACACTTTCTGCAGTAGATATGCATTTGCCTGTGCCTGTGCCTGATGATTCTGGATTATGCCAAAATCAATTATTGTCATTCCAAGTTCAAGCCTTAATATGGTCCTGGATAACCTGGTTTCGAGTTTCAGTTTCCCAAAAGACAAAAATGGACATACATTTTTTTAGATTTATTTTTGTCGAATCTTGGCAAACAACGAAAGAGTTAAAAGGGATTAGTTGCTAAATTGTGCTGGAAAAAATTCTATTTATTGTTTTTGTTGCAAACCCTTTAACAGCTTCCACAACATAAAACTGAGTAGTTCTGAATTTAACTACTGAAACCACTTAAAACGTCATGAAACAAAATGCATTTTTGTTATCTACATGTTTGGTTCGATTTTTTAGAACAATTACGAAAAAATAAACATATTGATTCGGAATTTCAAAATTTATTAAAAAAAGAGACTAAGCATTGGTGTGATGTTATTGAAAGAATTATCTATGCCATTCAGTTTTTAGCCAAACAAAACTTAGCCTTCCTTGTTTCCAGTAACAAATTATTCAAAAGAAATAATAATTTTTAAAGTGTATAGATCACAAAATGATGATTGCATACCATTCAAAATCTGTGATCACAAAATTTGACCCTATTATGTCTGTATGTAAAATATAAAAAAAAAAAAAAATGATGGCTTTGCTCTTCGCAAACACGCAACCTTTAATTAACTTTCTGCAATTCAGTATCTTCCCCCTAGACCACTATCTTTTAGAATTTGTTAGCCTATTACATAACCGCTACTATAAATAACGGATGCGCACTGTTTTACATCAGAGGCTCGTCTCTCTTCCTGTTTTGTACTCCGCGCTGCTCTGTCCATCCTTCTTTTCTTTGTTAGAATGTTATGATGCATAAAGTTTAACTTCAGTCGTACTTGGTTTAAACTACTATTGAATGTGTTATTTAGAGAATTTCATATGAAGTAAAGCATGATCTATGGTAAAAATTGAATTAAAGCTACTAAATAAAGATGTACCATTAAAAGCTAAATCAACTTGCTTCTTCATTTGGATTAAGCTTTACCACTCTGCAAAAACCATGCCTAAACTTTGATACCGAAATATCACATGTATATATTAATAAAGTTCAAACTAAAATATGCTTCATTACCTTGAATATAAAATTTAAAATGAAACATTTAGCTTATTAGGAGATAATATAAAGGAAATTATTTTAAGGTCAAACACGTATTTTTCTGTTTTACTTGATTATACCTCTGATGCCAGCTGTCGAGAGCATATATTAATTTGTATGAGCTATCTCAATTTAGAAAGTACAGACATGAGTATTGAAGAAAGGATTTTAGTATTTTGTGTTACAACAGATATGACCGGTGAAGGACGAACAACATTTTTATTAAAGACTTTAGAGGAAAATGGTTTAGATATAGTAATTTACGCGGCTAAGAATACGACAATGGTTCATATATGAGACGTAAACAGTTTTTGAGTAATTATGCTTAAATCATTGCTTTTCCTAATTAAAAAGTTAACTAAGTTTAACATAATATGTAACTGTACTTACCTTTTTTTTACATAGAAAAACAATAACAACAAGCAATCACAAAAAAGCTAAATGTTGTAAACAAATTACTACTATTGCAACAGTAGACACAAAATAAGGATTAAGCAATTTGTCAAATTCGTCTACCCTTTCATACGCATCAGCATCACATATTTTCACTTTCAAATAAGATAAAAGAGAACACCAGAGACACACTCCTGCCCTGGTTGTAAAAATCCTTCATGTAAAAAAAGCATGTTTCGAGTAATTATGCTCAAATCTTTGCTTTCCTGAATCAAAAAGCTAACTTAAGTTTAACATAATACGTAATTGCACTCACCTTTTTTATGTAGAATAACAATAACAACAAGCAATCACCAAAATAACTCACAAAAATGATAAATGTTGCACAAATTCCCACGATTGCAACATTAGACACAAAATAAGGACTAAGCAATTTGTTGATCGCATCTGTGCCATCGGCATTACGTATTTCTGTTCACATATATTTGCAAGATCAGCTCAACATATATCAAAAACTGCAAAATGCATAAACTGATAAAAAATCAAAGCGATATAAATTGTATAGATCTTATGCATGAATTACAGTTTTCGCAAACTTTTGGAGGAAATGTAGCATCACCTGTTGCAACTCTAAGCTATATCGTTGTCAACAACATAACGGTGTGCAAAAACAAATTTTGGATATACTCCTAACTATTAGCCCTAGAGTATTTTTTGTGCCCTTTTGTAATGACAATTTAAAACTTGTTGTAAACTACACTGTGAAAAACAATTTATTCAGTGCAAACTTATTAGATATCTAAATTAATTTGCTTTTAATTTTAAGATAATAAATAGTGTGCATTTAGTATATTATTTAGCTTCGTTTGCAGTGTTACATTTTTGTTCTTGACTAATGCTCACTTGTCTGACTATAGTCAGCCCAAGCCCAGGAAATTCCTTGTGGCAAGAAGCGTAAGATACGCCTGTCGTTGGCAGCAACCTTGAGCACCTGACAGGTGACCGTGCAATTTAGCTCAGTTTCGCCCCTGATTTTGATGGAGAGCATCCTGGGGGGGGACAGATCCGAGCATCTCCCACCCCTCGTCCTCTACCAGCAACCTTTCGAGAGGACTTTCGCCTCGCATATTTAGAGTGTCCCTGTGCCACGTGGACACCATATATTTACAAACATGCATGCCTTCCCCGAGATTCGAACTCGGGCCCTTCGGCACGGCAATCAGCAATGCTAACCACTATACCAATTGGGCTGCTTTTTATAACATAAATGTATGTATAATTCTTCAATAAATATATTTGAGTGTGGGTTTTAACAAAGCATAAAATGTTTACATATTTGGACAAATTAAAAGATAATTTTTTTCGTATTATTATGTCAATAATGCTTCATTTTAAATGTTAACCATAAGCAATGTCTCTTTAATATTGTCACTGCATAAAGGCGCTTGCTAGACATTTGCACGATGGTGCCAATTAGGCTTGGCACAGGCCTGATCACCCTATGTATATATTTTAATACATTTTCATCATCCAAACACATTTGTCTTTAAGTTAAGATTCCAAATTCATTCTGTTGGACTTAAGAGTTTTATAGTGGATAGCTTAGTCTGTCTGAGTAAATTATTTAAGCTTAATTTTTATTTCATTGTGTAATTTTGCTTACCAAAATATAAGATTAAATTGCTATGTTGTTCTCTCCAGTGATGACATAATAATGTAATCAATTTGCATTGTTTTTGGTTGAAATAAATATGTATGTTATTACATATTGACACACTGATAATTTTAATTAGTATACAATTTTGAATTTTGGTAGCTGTTTGCAATGTATCATACAGGAACATTATATATTTATACCTATCAGGGGTTTTAATTGAACTTTGCAGATATCAAGATGCAACCATGGTATCTTTGAAGTTCTCTTTACTTGTTTATATATTTATCATCATTTTCCATATTTATTTCCCACCCCCAGTTTTTCAATTTTGATCACCATTAAGAAGATTCATTACATTATATAATTTAAATATAATCTCTGATCTTTTTATTGTTGAATAATTGTACACATGCAGGTAATTTTTATGACTTCTTTTTTGTGCATATTTATAACTTTTCGTATTTTACAGTCTATCTCGAGGGATATTTATCACTGATGCATCTCTCTATCCTTCAGAAAAGAATGAAGTATGAAAGATCTTTCTATTATATTTCTATATGTTTTTAAAGTATTTAATAATAATTGGGTTAATTTAATTTAATATTTTGTTGTTGTTAATTTAAATACCATAGCTTATTGAAACTTACAGAAACAATTTCAGTTGTAATATTTAATTACAAAATTATATATAATTGTGAAAAGTGATACAAACTTCATTGAATCAAACTGAGCTAGGGAAAAATAATTAGTAAAAAATTTGTCTCATAGAACAAAGTTAACATTGGTTTCAATATTTTGACCTCGTGTCTCAGCTTTTGAGTGAATTTGACATTTCTACTTTATGACATTTAATTCAATTCTGTAAGAGAACTATTTGGATGTAACCAAACTGTTTTATCAAACATCATCTAGTGGCAACAGGAACAACTTATAGTCAGTGGACATCTATCTGCGATGAAGATAGGTTGTCCAATATTATGCCTCTGTGACTCAAACGTTAATTCTGTAAGTGTTAGGCGTTCCATTTAGGTGTATGTTCTATTTTAACGTATATTTTCTTTGTAACTGTTCCTATGCTCTGTTAATAAATACTTTCTGTTAATAAATACTTAGCTGGTGTTTGTGTTTAGAGAATAGTTACAGTTCATTAAAAATTTTTGATTTATCAGATTTCAAGTAATTAAAGTTACATTGTGCTCATTGTTAATAATTTGTTATAATATAGTTGCTTGTTGTTGTTAACAATAGCATTTTACTATGTCTCAGAAATGTTAATATAATTTTTTTTACACAAAAACTAATATTGTCATCAAAAACTGAAGGTGGGATATGAAATATCAAATTTCCATTAGTAATGATCTTGTAATTTCCTACTACTACAAAAAGATACCAAAATATTTTACAGTAAAGTTTGTCTGTAACCACTGTTTAACATTAAAAATCTTCAAAATTGCATCTTACATTTTGAATATATTTGACTTAATAATTTTTTTTACTCAACTAGTTTTTGATAATGTGCATTTGAAAATCATATTGAAATCAATAAATCAAAATCTTTGATTTAATGTGGCTTCAATTCAGAAGAATTATGAGAGAATTTCTGGTATACTGTTTAGTCACTTATTAAATTGTGAATCTTTATTTCGATATTTAAACCCTACTGAATATTCATACAAAGATACTGATTGAGGGTTTTTTTTTTTTTTTTTAAGAATATCTTGCTAAAATTACCTCCTGGACCTGGAATTACAAATCCTATTACAGTTCTTGAATTCAGTTCAAAGACTTATGTATGTCCAGAAGATCTCTGTGAGTATAATACCTAGATTAATCCCTATTTAGTAATCAGTGTATTAAAGATAATAATTGAGTGAAATTGTAATAAGAGTATAACTGTGTATGCACAATAAAATTTTAACTTTCAAATGGATTAAAGAATGGTGGATAGGATGAAAAAAGAAAATAACAGTGTGCAAGAATAATCCCTGGAGCAAACTAGTACCTGAGCTCTTATAATATACTTCATGCACATCATTGATAATTAGAAAGAAGCAGCTTGAGTCTGACTTAGAAATTTTTCAATCGTAGTATTTATTGAATCACAAGCTATTGAGTTACCATCTCTTTGGAATAAGAAAGAAAACAGAAATGTAAAAGATTATCAAAATATGTTTGGAAACTTTCTTTTATAATAAAAACATCAGACTTTTTAAGACTATTATAAAAGTACTTAAATAATTCGTACAAGAGAAGCAGCTTAAATAAAATTACACATGTGCATGAATTTCTTTAAAAAAGTGAGTAAATTGTTTATCATCTTCATAAATAAAATATGTTATTATTTCATTCTCAACTCATAAATACTAGTGATAGAAAAAATACATTTAATTTTGTTTATCTGTTTCATAGATAAGATCCTTTATAATTTAATCATTTCTATCAGTTCCATTTTAATTTCCATTATAATTTCATTTCTAACTTGAAAATGCCAATGCTATACTTAATCAGTTTGATATTAGTAATGAAGGTATGATAAGTAAATAGTTTTGATTTATTGATATCAGTAAGTGTTTATGTTCTGCTTTTATTTTGAGAAGTCTGAAGTGAAATTAAATGCATTTATTTTAAATTTCAGATATTGTTTATATGGTGGGTCATTCCTCGAATACTACAGCTGAAGAGGATTTGAAGTATGCTGTTGAGTTATTATTCAGATCTGAAGCTTCTGGTAATTATTATTAAAGGCTGCTTTGAGAGTAACTAATATTCAGAAATATTTTAAGAATGATTAATATTTAGGTTTGACAGTATCTTCTAAAGAAACATAAAATGGAATGACACTTTCTCTAAGGCATCCATTCTTAATTCCTGATTATTCTGGTGTTCTGTGAAGAAAAAAATGTCAGTCATGTTGATTATAGATTTCCAAAATGAATTTGTCTTATTTGTTATTCTTAGAATCTGTTAAAGAAAATATTAAAGGCAGTGTATTAGTTCATTAAAACTGTTATAATCATAAAATTGTGAATTAATCACAAAAGCAAATAGTGTATAATGCTTTGTATCCCCCTCCAGGAAAGAAAAAAAATATTGTATACATTGTTTTCTGAAATACAAATTTAGCAAGTTAGTAATATTTTACAATATCGAAAACAAATGTTACCTGTAAAGATGGGGGGGAGGCACTTAGCCATAAATTGTATATTTTATTTAATCATTTCAGAAACACTTTCTTCCTGTTAAAATAGTTATCTATTGCAGTCTTATATATTTTATAGCTGCCAAATGTCCCACTTTTTCATGAAAACCCCTGGTCCTCTAGTAGAAAACCAACTCTCCTAGCTTTTGATCTTTACCAAGAAAAATGCTTCCTAGTAGTAAATGAAATTTATCCAGTTAATGAACTTAAATTGTGCAATTTCCATTCCCCTCCAGTGATGTTTGGCATAATATTTCTTATTAAATTTTATTTGATGTAATATGACTTAATCTGTGGGATTTTTAATGAAAATTCAAGCAAAGTTTAATCAGTTAACATTTGTATTTGATTTTGTTTTGCATCATTAAATGGTGCATTGCTAAGTTTATCCATATAATAGTATGCACATTAAGTTAATTTTATTTTCATCATATTTAAAAGTACTCTGAGAAATAAAAGCTTTTCTTCTATACTCAGGATTTTCTCAGTAGAAAGGTATAAAAATATTATAAAATGAAATTAGGCAAAGAGCTTAAAATTTATAATATAATAATAACTGGAATTTCTTGATAATGGATTTTAAATGCTTAAATTACTTTGATCAAGAAGCTAATTCAGTACAATCATATTCTTAGGTACATGGAAGTAATTTTCACATCTCTTGATTGCAATACTTTAAACAATGGATGTGCTAGGCTGTTCTGTAGGAGTAATGCTTCTTGATTAATTACAAAAATTCTTGCTATCTGATGGCACAAATTTCTTCTCAAACCACTTAGTGAATGTGTAGCAAATGACTTCCATCCCCAGTGAATCATGCATTTGAAATGTTTTCATAAATTACAGAAAGTGTCATTACATTAACATGCTTTAGTATTATCATTGCAATGTATGGCTTTTAGTAATACAAAATGGCTTTAATTTAGGATTTCCAATTTTATTTAGATATAAAGAAGTATAATTCTACCTTTATCTATTTTCCTTGTAGTCTTGTTTGCTTCCTTTTTTACATCGAACGTCTTATCTGGTAGTAGTCTGTCATAAAAGACACTTGTTACAGTTACAAAATTGTTTGTTCTAGTAACCACGATCTTCCATACACTGCCTTAGATGTTTGGGAAATCTGCAGTTTCCTCATCATTAGATACTGCTTCTTCTTCAGGATTCATTTGTCATATTTCAGTTAAATTTTTCATCTTGAAATGCATTCATCAGAATCCTTGAGCGTTAATGAGTCATTTTTGCTTTCAAAATAACACCATTTATAAATGTAGATTCGTTTCTTTTCTGCACAGGCCACTTATGTAAACATTTATCTCCTTAACTTTACACCCTTGGGAACTCCATAATTTTTATTGGTGCTAGCTTTATAAACACTTTTTTTTTTTTAAATTTTGATTAAATTTTAACTTTTCTTTCATAGGTATTTTATGTTTTATATTCCATCACTACCATTCTGAAGCTGCTTCTATACACATGAATCAGTAATGATATACTAATAATGAGTAGTCATAAGCCATAATGAATAAATTTAGAGACCACTCTATCCTTTTGCACTCGGGATCAAAATCCATTGGACTTTACTAGCCAAGACTGCATCATATTTGGAAGGAATGAAGTGTAATAAAAAATATAGAATTGTAAATCTATACACAATAAATCTTCAACCATAAACTGATCAATGAAAGAAAGAAATTCAATTAAAAGAGTGCAGAATTGTAAGTCTAAACACAATTGATCTTCAGCTGGTGGACATGGTAATGAAAGGGATGGAATGAAATTAAAAGTACAAAATTTTAAGTCTAACCTTTAAGTCAGCGACAAGGTTAATGAAGGCAATGGTATGCAGTATGAAGAGTACAGAATAGTAATTTAAAATTAGACTGTGGAAATTATAAATATTCTAGATTTGCATCTGCTCAGGACAAACAATATGCAATTATAAATCTAAATATACCTACTAAATCAAGTAATTTCCAAACTCTGTTGAATAAAAGAAGTTTGAAGCCAAACTATACTCTGTGATTTTAAAATATTCATACTAAAATTGCAGAGGCCTTAAAATGGCTTAAAATATCGGCCATGGTTATATCCTCAATATATTCAAATCTATAGTTTGCATCAAATATAGCCATGATACAACGGGCTTTTATTGATTACAGCAAATTTCAATAGAAATTCATATTCAAGAGCTTTGAGTACTATTAGGTTTTAGATATCATTGTTTATAAAAAATTTTTAGTGTTTTGATTGCAGTTAGAAAGTTGAATGTAATATTGTAAAGAAATTTTTTTAAACCACTCTTTGTGTGATATTTTAAAATTATGATCTGTAATTCTTGGCTGCAACAGTAATAACATTAATGAGCAATGTACTCTGTTGAATGTTATCTCTAGCAAAGGATAATTTATTTTATATCATAATTGAAAAATAAGCTTTGTATCGAGTTGTTTTCCTGAATTCTCTTTAATGATATTAAATTTTTTCCTGAATTTTTATTTTTTTTTTTTTTCATAGGCAATGAAGTACCAAATGGAAGTACAAACCACAAACCAAATATTCTTTGGTGTCTTTATTACAACCAAAAAGATACATCTACTATTGACTTGAATTTTTGTGTTCCTGGAAGTATCTTCTTGACATCTTCACCTGATGTGCAGCTAGATTATGAGCATTCTGTGAAAGAAGTAAGACAAGCTATATTTTTGCCATAAATGCTAAGTGGTAGCTTTAGAAGAGCAGTAATAAATAAAAGATTTACATGTATTAGTAAAAAAAATCCCCTTCGCCCTTTTTAAAATGTATAGCTGTATTATGTTGCATTTTCATACTCAATGTTTTTTTTTTTTTTTTTTTTTTAATCAATTGTGGCATAAATGTCAGTAACTTCATTTTCTTTTTTATGTAACAAAATTTGCCTGTCCTCTCTTCCTTCGGAAACAACAGTAAAACTTCATTTTATTTATGTATTTATTCAGCCTGCCATTGCTGTAAAATAAGCTTTTTTGAGGGAAATTTTATTTTTATTTATTTATTTATGATCAAAGACTTTGATTTTTATAGTAAGTATGAAAACTTTCTGCCTGCATTCTGTATCTCTGATTAGTAGATAAAAAACTTGCATTGGTTGAACATTTTCGTTATGCTAGAGATATTGCAAGAGTCTGGAACTTAATTTAAAATATTTTTAAGCAGAATTATTAATGCAACAGACATTCATTTGAAACTGAAACCTATGACTTTTGAATAACTAAAAAAGAGAAATACCTCAATATTTTAACTTAATAACAAGGAATCAAAAATGCAGAAGCTTTAAATGAAAGATCCTTTTTGACTGTTACATTTCCAGCTCTTGAAATAGTAACAACAGCAAATAAAACTATAATAGGAAGCAAAAATAGATCCAGACATGGAAAAGTACAGATTTACTTTCTGGGGAAAGCAAAACAGCAAAATAACTGAAAGACTTGAAGAAGTGTAACCAAAAGTAAATCTAAAGAAAGAAAGAGGGAAAGTCAAGTTAAGTTTTGGGCAATAACTCTAGCATAACTTAACTTGACTTTTCAAACGTTTTGTGCAAGTATTTGTTGCAGTACATTTGTAGATGTTCTTAAGTATGGTGATAATCGGATATCTCCTAGCAGTACTAGTAACAAAGCTCAAAAAGCGATTATAGTGGGAGTTATATATGTTCAGAAAGGATATTTTTAATAAGTGGCAAACCTTGGTATGCTGATGAATGTGAATCTCAGTTCTTAAAAGTAAAAGGTAGCATTCTGGACTTTTGTAAATGTTTTTATAAAGGTTCAGTAAACAAAACATCTATATTATATTACAAAATAACTTTTACCCACACTAATCTGAACTAGGAAGATAGTATACTCGAAAAGTAGAATTCAGTATCTTAATTATTATATAACTAAACTCTGGCGCAACAGCCCTAGTAAGCCATGGCCTGCAGTGCCTCGAAATCTGCTTTCTTGACCTTTGCCCCCGGAGTGCATCAGCATATGCCCTGGGCAAGTGGTCAGCATGTCGCAGGCACCCCGGTGTTTAGTTTCCAAGCAAACTGGGTACTCATTTTATTGACTCACTCAAGGGATGAAAGACTGAGTCAACCTTGTCCAGCCCAGGGATCGAACCCCGGACCTGTAGTGCAGCTGCATGACATGCTAGCCTCTTCGCCACCAGGTGGTCCAATTATTATGTACTTATTGATTTTATTTTTTTTTGGTTTAGATTAAATATTTTTAATTTACTGTACAATTTAACCAGTTAACTGTGGCACTCTCGTTTAAGAATGCACACCGTTTTGTGTCGCCAGAATCGAGCCATAAGGAGTATATTCGTCAATCACAGAGTAAGTTGTGCTGGTAAGATATTTGATGAAAAAGATGGGTTTATTTTATAAAATTGAAAATTTTATTACTAATATTTACGTATTTGGTTAACATAAGCATATATTACATACATATTAAACTAAAAACGCAATAAATTATATTAAATATTTTACATATAAAAGTGAGAATGCTGTGGAGTGATATTCAGCGAAACAGGGTACTATACACAATGGGACTTTGCAAATTGAACACCAGTAATGCGATTCTTTCCTGATCTTACGTTTGTAGCAATGCAAAAAACTTCATGCGTAGGGTTTTTTTTTTTCCTTCCCCGATGTTTCGGGTATATAATCCAGAAAATGATTCCCACCAAATTGGCTTATATTAGGTCTAAATGGCCGAGTTTGTGTTGATTTATTTCTTTCAATTGGATACGTCGCAAAAGTGTCTTCAATAAATTTGAGCTAAAAGAACGAGAATAATGTTCCATTATTTTTTTTATATAATATGAATGCATTCAGACACATAATGTCTAAGAAATGGAGAAATATCTCTTTTTAGTACTTTTTGAGTCTTTTTCTTGCTGTAGAGTACGCTATGATAATTCCATCGCTCATATCCACTCCACCCATTTTTTTATTATAATCAATCACTAGCTCCGGTTTCTTTGTTATCATTTTTCTTTTCTCTGTTTCTGTTACGTTGTCATTATGTACAGTACATACTAAATAAACATTCCTCTTATCTTTCCATTTCATTATGCGCATAACGAGTATACTCGTCAATACACAAAAACGTGCCGCTTCTCCATGACAAGTATACTCGTCAATCACAGTTAACTGTTTAAATAATGCAAGTAAAGAGAATATTATTTATATATTATAATTATTATTACATTTAATAAATGTAAATAAGGGGATATTTATCTTGATTTGACTGCGCTCAGCCCTTTTAGTTCATATGATTTCATCTGTCCTTTAGTTGGTATTTACTCTTAGCTTTTTGCTGCAGTTTGAGTTTATTTGAAGTTGAAAAAATTCCTCCATTTTAGCTGTTATCTCCTATTTGAGAACTTTTTTCTCTAGAACAGTGTCTTTCTATGTTCTAACATCCACAGATTTTAATTTCCTAATAAGCTGATTGATACTGCCATAAGTAGTGGGAACTAACTTTATTCATCTCACATGTGCTGTAAAAAGTAATTGTTTTCTTTCTGAAGTATTTTGCCCATAGTATTCTGATATCTCATTTTTTTAGCAAATACTCACCATGTAATTTTTAATTCATCCACATTTCAATAAAATCTTTCATGATCATCTGTGTGTAATAATTTTTTTGAAAACTGATCAGAATAATAAATTATATTTATTCCATAATATGTGCCATAAATATTCTCAAAATCTACATATAAGTCTGCTTACAGCATTTAGCATATTAATAGATAGGCTGTTTGTATACTTCATTAATGTGATAGTATCATTTTATAAATGTGACAGGTATGTGAGACATTATTACATTATAATCAAAAGATATATTGCAGCATTAAATCTATGCAGTAGCAGATATTTATATGAATTAGATTGATGAATTTAAAATGAGTTAGTCCGTAATTGTTATTATCAAGTCGTAATTAAACTTTATTTTAATGTTTCCTTAAAAACTATTATAAAAGCATCATATTTCCATTTTTGCATCAAAGTTTTATTTATTTATTTATTTTTAATATTTTAATGGTAAGTTAGAATCCTTACCTTAAACCTAGTGACTAGTGAGAATTCATAATCTTTAAATATCAGTTGAATATGACTTTGCAAGTATGAGATGATTAGAATATCTTTTAATTGGGGTGATCATTAAGTTTGGGGATATTAGTCAAACTAGATTTTTAGTATCTTATTGCATATGCTTTTGTTGATTGTGTGTGTTTTTTTTAATTGAATTTGCAAAAATCTAGAGTTCAGAAGAAATTTTTTCATGCAAGCTTAATATCAATAATTATTCACGATTGAGGTGTGTAGATATATATTTTGACGTTTGTTTCCTCTTTTCTATTTAATAAATTTTGCATTAAAAAACAAAATCCAACATGAAGAATCAGCATAAAATTAAAATATATATATATATATTTGCAGTACTAGTTTCGATAATTTTTTAACTATCTTCTTCAGCTCCTAAGTGCAGATGAACCAAATAAAAGGTGAAGAAAGATAAGAAAAGTTGGACAGAAGTTAATCTACTAGCGCAATCTATTGATGAAACAAGAAAAACTAAAACAAAATTTCTTTAAAGGCTGAAGGTAAAGATGGATTGCAATTGGAGGGTCATTAACTAGAACAGAAATGCTTTTTTGGATGTGAAACGCTTCTAAAAAATCTAATTCACCAATGGAGGATGTTTTCTGAATAATTTTGGCTGCAATGGAAAGTGTGATTTTCATTCCAACAATGCTGAGCAACAACAGATTTTCTGTGTTTTCTTTTTTCTGACATATGCCTCATGTTCTTAAACACGAAATTTTAAGGCTCTTTTTGTTTGACCAATGTAAATTAAACCACATTGGCAAGGAATCCTGTAAATACCCCAGGAATTCATATCCGGAATGGAGTCCTTAAGCATGGAACTAGGAATTGTATTGGTAAGAGAGAAAACAACCCAAAAGTTAAATTTCTGCAAAATATGGTCAATTTTATAGCTAATTGATGGAAATAAAGGAATGACAACAGAATTTTAATTAATCACCTAAAACAGGATTGTACCTTTCGATGCATTCCGATGACAATTTTTTAACTGCACAGTTAATAATGTTGGGTAAAACCCCTTGCCAATAGCAACTACTTTTAAATAATTTAGTTCTTGATCGAGAGCTAATTTGGAGAAGCAAACTCGAAGTGCATGGGAAACAAATAAAATGAAGCTAACTTCTGTTTCGTTGGATGATATGATTTGAAGTGTGGTGGAAACAAACCGATGAAGGCTTACGGTAAACAGTCACATATGTAATGTGTGACCAAAATGTCGAGGAACAGAAGATAATTGGATAGCTCAAATTCAAAAGTGAACTGAATAGCAGGATCAATGGAATTCATTATTGAAAGAACATTACAGTCAAAAGTCTTTACTCCGGACTCGTTGAGACTTCGGCGATTCTGGATTATAGATCATCAGTTTAAATCTGGCAGGCAGAAATTATAAAATTAAAAATATGAAACCATAATTTATGAAATAAAGAGCAATTATGATCTAAAGGGTATCAAAATTTATAAAAAAAAGGCTTAATATTTATTTGTTTACTTTATTAAACATTTCTTTCAACGCATGCATGTGTAAAGCATACATTACACATAATCAAAATTAGAAAATTGAGGAATTTGATTTAAGTCATATCAAAGACACAGTATATCGACATGAAATACTACATTTAGTAAGGAATTATAAGCCAAATAAAACAAAAACATCTGCCCTGAAGATAAGGATAGTGCTGACAGATCAACTTTCAGTTCATTGCGTGCCGTGACGTCCCCCCCCCGCAACGCAATGTGAAATTGTTAAACAGATTTTGGAATGGTTAGAGAAACAAAGGATATGCCTTTATCCATTTTTTGCAGCAATTCCACTTTTTGGTTGATGGACATCGAAACATGCTTTCTCTTTGTAGATCCTTTGGCAGCTCCAGAATCGGAAATTCTTTTTGACATAATCGAAAGTTCAAGCTTACTTTTATAAAATTGCTCTAACAGTTTTCAAAAAATAATAAGCCGGATCCAATTAGAAGATTAAGGAACAACGCAATCTGCAACATTAACTGAAATAGATAATTTTATCTTAGCTTATACCATCCGTTATTCATCAAACGTGCATGCGTAAACGTATTGTGTGCATGCGCAGAATGTTCATAGCTTTGAGCTCCGGATTATAGATCATTCCGGATTATGGACGTCCAGATTAAAGGCTTTTGACTGTATTTAAATCATTTTCATTACCATCAAACAGAGTAAATGTATCGTCTGCGTAGCGGAACCAAACTGGGAAGTTTAAAGTTTCAAATAATTTTGATTCAAAATAATGCATGTAGATATCAGCAAGGATTGGACTAAGAGGGCTTCCCATGGCTAATCCCTCAGTTTGCCTATAACACTTATTTTGGGAAAACAAAATAAATGTGTTTGTTTCAAACAGAGGTGAGTAACTGAGATTAGTTCATCAATTTCGATGCAGGAGAAATTAAATTCATGAAGTGTAGTTTTTAGACATCTTAATGCACCTTCCACTGTAACATTAGTAAATAATGATTTAACATCAAAAGAAACCACGAGGAAATTTTAGAGAGAAATCAGTGTAAAGTTTTAAGAAAATTTGTTTTTAATTTACGCTGATTCTTAATGTTGGACTTTGTTTTTGATTGTTATTCAGCTTGATATTTAAACTGAATTTTGCATTATTGTTTATTTATAGGCCCGTGAAATTTTTAATAAAATATGCCCAGGAGAAGAATTTCTACCACGAGCACCTGATCCTGAAGACATTCTAATTGATCAGCATAATAATCCTGGAGATGATGGTAATGGTGGTAAAATTGAAAATGATGTCAGTAAATCTGATTCTGGGTTTACTGAAAGTTCATATAGTAATGCTGAGATAGAAAGTACGAAATCCTTAGAAGAAAATCATTCAACATTGGGTAATCAAAGCTTGGATAATGCTGAGACGGAAGGGACAAAATCTAGTGAAGAGAATCTTACAGCTACTGAAAATCAAAGCTTAGAATCTGAAACTGGTTAATATTTCATAGCAAAGCTTAGTAAAATCAAAAAGGTGTATAAGCTAGTTACTTAAATTTTTGTCCATCTGTTATTCAGCTTTGTGTATTTTGACTGACCATTCCAAAACAGAGATTTGCATATGCGTTTAATTTTAAACCTGTTGATATCTGTTTATAATTATCATCATTATATTGCATATAATGCCGGAAATTATGCTTCATAACATAAATTCTTATAAAATCTTAGGTCTAAATCTTTATGTGAAAATTTAGTTTCAGAAATTTATTTCGAAAATCTTCCCTTCCCCAGTCGCAGCACATTTTATGCAGTTTGGGTTTCCTCTAAATGAAAGTTATGTATTCATGCCACTTTTTTTATCTGACTTACGTGTATCTTGACTTCAGTTAAAAACTTTGAAGAACTAGAAAGAAGGAAAAATATAATACTGAGGGGTTTTTTTTTTTTTTTTAATTTGCTGTAAAAAAATAACAAAAATGTCATCATTTTGAATGTAAAATTATTCTAATATTTATATATTTATTATAAATTATTATTGTTAAGCAAAAATTCAAATAACATATTTGGAACATTTTGCAATGTATACAGTCAAAAGTCGTTAATTCGGACACCCATAATCCAGAATGATCTATAATCTGGACATCAAAGCTAAAAACTTTCTGCGCATGCGCACAGGCATTTTACGCGTGCGCGTAAGACCTTGACTACTGTGCATATGCGTGTGCGCAAGTGCAGAATACGTTTTCACCTGCACGTTTAATGTATAACGGACGGTGTAAGCTAAAATTATCTAATTATCTATTTCAGTTAATGTTAATGATTGCGTTGTTCCTTAATCTTCGAATTGGATCCCGCTTATTATTTTTTGCAGGACTGTAAGAGCAATTTTATAAAAGTAAAACTTGAAACTTTCGATTATGTCAAATAGAATCTGATGCTGGAACTTCCAAAGGATCTACAAAACGAAAGTATGTTTCGATGTGCAACAAACAAAAAGTGGAATTGCTGCAAAAAATGGATAAAGACATGAAGAATGTGACAGAGAGGTTAGTGAAAACGAAAAAATTTCCATTGAAAAGTTAGTCGGTATTCTCGGCACAGCAATTAACGGGACTTGAACAGCGGAACTTTGTAACTGAACAAGAAATTATGTCTTTTTATAGAATTAAAGAGAAAGTATTATCACATAAAATGAAGCAACTTAAACAACTTACATTAAGAGAAATGTTTAATAAAGTAAACAAATAAATATTAAGCTTTTTTTTTTTGTAAATTTTGATACCTTTAGATCATAATTGTTCTTTATTTCATAAATTATGGTTTCTACTTGTAATTTTAGAATTTCTGCATGCCATCTACAAGATTTAAACTGATGATCTATAATCCGGAAAAATCGCCGAAGTCCCGACGAGTCCGGATTAACGACTTTTGACTGTACATATGCACAGTATTTGCAGTGTTTTTTTAATATATTTAAAAATATATTTATATCATTGAAGATAATTTACAGCAATGTATAAAATGAAAAATGTATATTAAATGTATACAACATTTATTGTGTTTATTAAATTTGATAATTTCTTTCAATTAAAATAGTTAATATCTGTTATAAAATGTCCATAATTATTAGGCTTTAGTATCTAGAAATAATATAGCAGTCATGTCTATAAGTTAATCCAAAATTTTATTATATTTTTCATGTGAAATTATTTTCTGTACTTAACGTATACCCTGAATTTTAATAAAATGTAGAAAATGGGGGGGGGCAAAGATTTTCTTCCTGAATATTTTCAAATATCTTCAGAGCTTTTAAGATAACATATTTTTCCCATTTATAGCTTATTTGTCAATGATTTATCCTGTTGATTTTCAGTACCCAATGCTTTTATAAGCAGTGGATCTAATTTTATGCATATGTATTAAAAAGCATTGTTTAATAGTAGAGTATTAAAATAATGCTATTAAAATTCTTTTATAATTTTGTTGATTCTTAATTTCACAAGATGAATTGCAATTGCTTCAAAATATTTTTCAACCATTTAGTAAATAACTGAAATAATTTTAGCCCTTTATTAAGTGATTTTAAGAAATAACTAAACATTTTTTCTTATACTTCATGAAGAGTTTTTAAATGCTATTGTGTTTTGTAAAGAAAAACTCTAATCATATATGGTCTGTCTGTTTACGCACTTGTTGGTATTTTTCTTTAAATCAACAACTTCAAGAGAGCGAAGCAAATGTTTAAGAATGTTGTCTAAATCATAAGAAAATGCCAACAATTTCTAGATTAATCCCCCCTCCCTTTAAGAGGATTTCATTTTTAAATTGATATGAATTTTAGTATATCAGAAAATCAAATTGAAAATTAGTTTAGCTAATGCAATTTTTTTCTTTAATAAAAGATCTTAAGAGGGAAAAAGCCTACTTTTAAATAAATATTTTAAATGAATTATTCATTTAAATGAATTCCTTTAAGCTACCTATTCAATATAATATACTTAAAAATTGTATTAAGTGTATATGATTTCTTTTAGCCTTAAAATGATTATGAATCCATGCATGCTTTTCTGCTTATCCATTTAGTATATTTAAGAGCTGATATATGTGTCCAGTACTAACAATGCTTCCATACATATGAGGAGAAAAATCCAAATGTATGTCACTCAAAGTCAAACGTATGCAATCCATGTGTTATTTATATTTTGTATACTTTGCTTTTATTTTGATAGGATTTTAAAAACTTATTTAAAAATTGTTTTGTTAATTTAAAAAAGAAAATTTTCAAAGGGTTAGGATTCATAATTTGAATACTTAAATGCCCTTTGAAATTCAAAGGAAGGATGGAAAATTTTTTTGTAGGGTTACTGTGAAGATTTAATTGTAGGTTAAGTCATTTAAAATAATCTGCTATTACTGACAAACTTTTCACATCAAAATATAAGTTAAATATAAAAGATATAATTTATTATTTTGCTGTAATTAGCAATATAAATTGTAATAAACTAAATGGTTCTACAAACGTTTTGCAATTTAGTTTTCAAATACAATTAATGTATCATTTATTGAAAATCTTAACTTTATTTACCTAAGTGTAAAAGTTATCATAATAAATAATGGACCAAAAGCCTTTGTGTGATTTAAAAAGAGAAGAATGGGGCAATGTGTAAGCTTTTGTATAAATAAATAAATAAAAATGAATCAGTGAACAGTCACAGAGAGCTAAATGAAGTAACAATAATTATTATATTTGTTCATAACTTTCAACATTAAGCAAAAAGAATACTGCCAGTAGTAGTACACTAAGCTCGGGAATTGCTACATGTAGTTGCAAAACAAATGGATCTGAACATTTTTGACAGTAATTATTAATTATAAGCATTATACCTGAATATTTGATATGTAGTTTATTAAAGTTCATGTATTGATCTTAAATAGCTATACATAGTGAGAGGGATGATTTTTAATTTATCTTTTTCATAATAATAATTAAAATAATTTCAGAATGGTGAAATTTCAAAAGATTAATATGTCCTATAAATAAATAACATTATTTCTTGCTGAAATTTAAAAAAAAATCCCTTAATAAATTAAATACCTTTAGCAATGCAGTTGTCTTTCAATTTTGTGTATTACATTCTTTGAATATATGTAATGTCATTATTCTTTAATCTTTTATGTTGTCTTCTTTAATCTTTTTTAATATGTTGTCTTCAGTAGTTTTATGACAGGGCTTAACATTTGTTCATAATGATAGATGAAATTATTTTCATGTAAAGTTTATTTTAAATTATTGCTAAGAATACAAGTTTGTATTTGTCTTGGGTATAAATATAATTTGTACATTCTTTGAAATACAATAATCCTCAACAAGATATATTGCTGTTAATTTGTGATATATTGATATTTTTGTTGTATATGTTCTTTCATGAATATGTATACATATGTGTAATAGATTTTTACATTGTTAAATGACAAATAAAAATTATATTAGTTATTTATACTACTGAGATGAATTTTAATATATATAAATGTTATCATGCCAGCTTAGTTAGTAGTAATACTATATATTTTCAGTAAACTTCAAATTGGACATCCGTATATTGATTTGTTTTTGATCATTTAATAAATAATTAGAAAAGGAAATTCCTGATCAAGAATTTATAAAAACGAAACTTGTTACTTTAGAACGTTTATGGGAAGCACTTCCGCAGAGAACCCGGTAAATGTAAACATCGCCAACTTTGGCAATAATAGTTCAAACCTGGTAACCAGCCGATTTATCCTATTCGCTTGTTCGAAGTTTGCAACCATTTTTCTTGCGTCATTTTGTTGAATTATCACTGTCGTTGTTCATATTTGCAGATTTATATTATTTCTTCTTCTTAATTTATTATTAGTTTTTCTGAAATTTTTTTAACAACGAATAGATAAAAATATTTTCGTAGATACTAGATGCCGGTTCTCGGTTCGGGATGAAAAGGAGAAAATACGGGGAGGGGTGAATACTAATTTGTAACACGGCTGTTCACGTTGTGTGTGTCATAATTATTAACAGCTCTAAGAACCATGAGGTTTCCAACCTCTAAAATAATTTGTTTCCGTAGGCCGCAAAAATATGCATATGCATTTTAAATAATGCTTTTATTTTTATTATTGGTTATTGTCATCTAAAATTATGAGAATAAATCAATTTTTATGGCGTTTAATGCGTAAACTTAACAAGATAATATATTGTTAATGCTATTAAATTGAAATAAAAAAAATATTATTGATTATCTAAGATGACAGAATAGTTTGATGCATTTCCATGGTCATCAAAATTAGCAAACCACTGCTGATGTAAGGAATATATTGTTTTCTGTGTTAATTGGAATTTAAGTCAAATTTTTTTCGTTTCTCACGTTTAACCGGTTAATTTCAATACATTAATACTAATTTATATTTTTAAATGAATTTTTATTTCCGTTATAAATGCTTATATATTGTCTTATGCTTAATATATTCTTTTCTGTGCTAACTTGAATTTAATTCAAATTTATTTTCGTATATCACGTTTAACCGGTTAGTTTTACATCTACATGCTTATTATCTGTGAATTTTTACTACCATATGCTTGTTTTGTCTGCTAACTTGAATTTACATGCACTAAAAATCACGTTTACAAAATATCACATTTACGGCTCGGCTCATCGTCGATGAACCGCGAGCTTGGCGAGTAAAAATGCAACGGCGCCAACAGGTTCTTTCCCGAAGCGCCAACGGGTTCTCTGCGGATGAATATGTGTTGAACTTAATGCATTTGATACTCAAATATTAAATTCAGAATTTTCTTCAAATGATTAGTTTGAAAATGAATGGGCGAAAGTTGAAGAATACAAAGAAAAATTAGATTTAATACGAGTAAAAACGAAATTATTCTTCAATAGCCAAATGATACAATCTACTAGCAGCGTTCCGCCGAATTCGAACAAACGGAAACTGAAATTACCTAAAATAGAGTTAATTCGGTGGCGAAATTAAAGA